GTCATTTTCAAATGACTTTGCATTGCTAAGCAGTATACATGTTATTGAAATCACTTTGCACTGCGTTCCAGTTTGGGCTTTTTATTTTGTGCGTGCATTTCAAATTCATTGACGCTGCCCTCGGACCTAACTGGTTGTGGTATCACAAGTGGGTAGATTTGGGTAGATGATGTTGTTCCCACCCATCACAAAACAGCAGATTGACAGATAGACTACCATCTATGGATGCCTATCTTTTTAAATAATTAAGAATTTTTGTTAAATACTAAACAGGCCATGTCAGAGGGTTTTGTTTTTTTTCTTGGCTCTGTATGATGTCTGAGAGTAAATAATAGTATTTGTCTTGTATTTGAATTCAACAGTTCCTTTAATATTATTGTTTGCTGTATATTATAGTTATTTGTGTTAATGAGCAGTGGAACAGGTGCCACATGTTTGTGTTTTAAGAATATATATTTTACTCCAGCAGCTTTGTAATATAACCGTTTGTCTTCAACAGTGACTAAATTGCAGTCAGCTTTTTGTGTGTGATTGCGTCATTGTCTTGACACGAGCAGAGTGATGTGATCATTTTCTGCTTCATTTCAAAATGGTTCTTTGTTTAAACCATAAAAAATTGAAACAATGTGAGAAACAACGGCGGTGATTATTTTACCCGCTGAACATGCTCTGGTGTGAGGAAGGAGGAAGACGCAGTCTGCATGCTAACCATGGGGCAACACTGTAGGATGGGTTCACAGGGGCAGCATTTATTCTGCTCACTTCAGCCTCCAGAGAGCTGCAGTTTGTGAGGCACAAAGAGCGGCACGGAGATGAACGCTAGTCTCCAGTAGTGTGATTATTGATTCAGCTGCTCCTCCCTCTGGCCTTCACAGATTTATGTGGAACACACACTGTATTTCTCCTTCCATCCCAGCGGCTCTTTGCCTGATTCCACATGACTTTTACTTTGACTTGGCCAGTCACCGGACACAGCACTGGCTGCATTGTGTGTGTGTGTGTGTGTGTGTTTGTGTTCACAGTGTTAGCCTCGCCTGTGGTTCTGTAATGTCGGCTCCGGCTGATTTGTGCATCTCACACCACCTGTAGACCGGCCTGTCACGTTGTGTAGCTGCTGTGTCTTACATGCCTCAAGGCTGTGCGCATGTGTGTTTGTGTACCCTGCACGTGTGTGTGCGTATGTGTGTGCTCGGTATATAGATTGAACTGACTAAGTGCTATTTTTGAATTCGTACATGTTTATGCATGAGTTTTTTTCACACACACACACTGGACATAAAGGACATAAAAGTGTTTAATACACTGACTTGATGTTACCTTTTGGGGACAAAAGCAAGTCACTATAATGTAGATCACTATTTGGTTTAAGGTTATGATAAAGCCTCGAGGTTGCTGCTATAACAGGAAATAAATGTCATCAATATAATTTCCTCTGAAGTAAAGGGAAATGACTCTTTGAGTGGGAAATATATGCATGCTGGGCTGTTTTCCATCAAGGTCCCTGGCCGGAAGCCAGGCTATCCCAAAAAATCAGCATGCCATTGTTCTGCTTGTCCTTCACATTTGCCCTGCATTTCTTCATTTCACGTTTTTTTTTTTTTTACAAGGTGCATTCAGCACAAGTCTAATCACCATCTCTAAAAGCACAAACACCGTATGACACAGTACAACAGTAAAAGGTGATGTAATTTGTCTAGTTAGCTGCTAACATCACATAGGTCAAGCTACTGTAACTGCTGATTATCAGGTGTGGAAGCTGGCATGAAAATGCCAGGAGTCAGGAGTGTTATTAGTTTAGGTGCACAAGATAAGATAAGAAATAAATCATTTATCATTTTAAAAAAATGCTATGACATTAATTTGACTCTAAATGATCAGGCTTGTATATCTATAATGTTATCTTATTTGCTGATGTGATGTCATATGCCATCAGTCATCCTTTCACTTAATGGCTTATCCGGGCAGCACAGTGGGTTCGAATCCGCCAGCAGGCCGGAGCCTTTCTGTGTGGAATTCATGTCTTCTCCTGGTGTCACATTCCAAAGACATGCATGTTAGGTTCATTAGTTCTTAGTTATCTGTAGATGTGAATGGTTGTCTGTGACAGTCTGGTGTTCTGCCCAGGGAGTATCCTGTAGCTCCAGTCCCCTTTGACCCTGTCAGGAGGGACAATATGAAGCACAAAGAAAAAGTTGGGGACTCAAACTTTTATGACTGACAATTATATAATTTGGTGATGACAAGTGATTAGCTCAAGATGAGACAAAAGTTGAGTCAGTGGTGTTGACAATTGGCAGGTAGCCCGATGTGTGACAATGCTAATCTTCACCTTTCAGATCAAGTTGCTGCTGCAGATTTTAATGTTTTAGACATCTCTGTCTTTGTGACTAATGATGTCACTTATAGTTAAACAATGCCACTTGAAAAGTAGCTTAGATTTTGCAAAGTTTGTTCACCTTCAGTTCCCGTAGACTATACAGTCCTTACAGCCAAGCTTTTACCTTTTTTCTCTTTTTTTTGGCATTTCCAGGACAAATTAAATTGCATATAAACTTCCAAATCTGCTGGTTTACTTACCTACACGATTGTCATAAAATGCGCACACTCACATACAAACACCACACCACATGTTTTTGGCTTGTAAAGCACTTTTGGGTTTTTTTCTTTTTTGTAATGAGCCATTAACATTTTTTTAAATAGTGTGTTGGCAGTAATAACTGTGAGATGATGCCCTGTTTGTGTACACACTCACAACCCTCTTCGCCCCTCCCTTTTCCTCTCTCCCTTCGCCTCCTTTCTGTTGCCATGGCTACTACAGGAGGTTGCCAAGTGATGAGGATGGCTCGGTGTCGAGTAACGGCTCCGGGAAGCTGAACACCAGCAAGAGCTCCTCGGCCCGGAGGACTGCGACTGGCAGCAGCAGCAAGAACGGCAAAGAGGAGCTACACAAGAGGGGCGCCAACGGTGAGGAGGAGGAAGGAAAGAGAGATGAGGAGGGAGGGAGGGGGTTAAGAAGGTAGACAAAGAATGAGATGATTCCAGTGAAGGAGGAAGAAGGGAAGGTATTAGGAGAAGGACACATACAAAGACAGATGGATGGATAGATGGAAAAAAATCTGCCTCTCCTTATGTTTGTGCCCATCAGAAAGTCTTTCATTGCTAATAAACAAGTGCAGATCACCAAAAAACTGACCACCCCCCGCCCCTGCACACACACACTCATGCTATGATGTTTTTACCCAAGGATAATTATTGTGAGCTAATGAAGCGCAAACACACTCATGCTTACAATGAGTCAGCCTGCTACAGCATCATGTAACTATCAGGGACGACACATGTACTCATCAGATATTGTCACGCGTCCGCTCATATGCAAACTGGGATATTAGATCAGTTAGAAGACACATGAAGCATTCACGTGTTGCTATTTAGGCTGTTTTCAATCGGCTTACCTCATTCCAAATGCTGCATGGAGATAAAAGCGAGTACATATTCCTTAAGCGTTGCATCAACTTACTTTGGAGCAGAACCACAGAGAAAGACAAGGAAGTGGGAGGAAACAGTTCTGACAGCGTAGTGTCACCTTAGGTGTTATTCAAATCCATACAACCCACTGCATATGTTCTATGCTGTAGGAAAGTTACTTGTTAATCCTTGATGCCTGTCCTCTCCATCATTTTAAATGAGCTTTTAGATATTGCACTCACACAGAGTGCAATATTAAAAACACACACACACACACAAAGGGTATGACTACTTAAATGCCAAGTTATAATTGAATTACTATTAAAATGAGAAGGTTACTTGTAATCAAGAGTCACATTTCTTTTTTTTTTTTGTTAAAGAAGGGACCTGATGTAGTCTAAAATCTGCGATGACATGCTGTAGCTTAGTTTATTGATGTTTTATCGACACTTCTTGGTTATAAGGACATCTTTATTTCCATGTTGTTTTCTACCTTTTTATGCCGATTCTGATATTTTTCACACTACTACATCAATTAGACAGACGGTTGATGACTAATTATGAAGAATGCATTATTAATTTAAAAGCATTTGTTAAAAAAGGTCATAAAAAGAGGAGACTGGTCCATGATGATGACAAACACGTACTTCACATTATTAAGTTCACTTTAAGCAGCTTGAGGCAACTGTTGTTGTGGTTTGGTGCTTCATAAGAAAAATTGAATTGAACTGAATTGAATTCAAGAAAAAAATTAAGCAACTTTAAAGTTGATATAAAAGCAAAACAACACAAAACAAAATTAGCATAGGTGTGCTTGTGTTGGGAGTAAGCATGGTATATGTGAGCAAAACTATACACAAAGCCTATGTTAATCTGTGGGAGCTGTGCTAAATCTGTCATACACACACATTTACATTTGGGTACATCTATGAAAAATGAATCCAGCCACTACGATGTCCTCCAATAGCTATTTCACTTCCCCTTCCCCTTTTCGGACCAGGAAGCTACTAACATTTTTCTTTATAATCACTCTTTGGCTAAATCTATCCAGACTCTTGAGTCAGTGTCAGTTAGGACTCAAGTCAAATCTAGAAATGACAAAAACTGAGGCTTCATAAAAAAATGAGCTTACCACCTTCTGTGGTCTTCTCGTCATTGCCTGAGGCTACAATAGCTGGTTCTAGCATGATGGCGCAACTTCAAGTGAACTCCTGTTATGAGTAATGGTGGTGCCAAGTTTAAACAGAACATGTGAAATGAAAAAAGACAATGTTTGTTTTCTACTGCATCATCTTTGAGCCTTTTGAAATGTTCTCCATCATTAATTCAACAAAGTAGCTGGCAGGTACTGTGTCATTTTAAAGAAGAAGGTTCTTGTTTACAGCCATATGACAATCTCCGCTGCTGAAGTAAATGACAGTTCTCCTAATAAAGCTCAAAAAAGCATGTTAGCAGGTTGTGACAATAAAAAATGTTGTAGTTTTCCATAGATAGGCTCACTTCTGGTAATTTGGACCACTCCACTGCAATGGACTTCTCAACTGTGTTTGCCCCTTTAGTCCCTTTTTAGCATTTTAATGGAATTATCTATTTTATTAGTCTGCTACTTACTATTAATTAATAAATATATATGTGCTGTAGCATATTGCTAATGGATGCATCTTGATGAAGCTAAATAGCCTTGTATGGTTTAGGACTTCACCCGTCCATCCAACTAGTTTCACTTATGGTCCAAAAACTTCAACATGGGACAAGCAAGGCAAATGTTGAAGTTTCCAAATGCAGTGTAAACATTGCACGGCAGACTTGATGATGTTTCCATGAACATGCTTTTCCGCATCTTTTTACTAAGCTGCTGCAAACACACTCAGTCGGCTGCAACTTTCCAGCTCAAAGCCCGACGTCATCAACAACAACAACAACAACAACACGACCCTCAGGACCCAGTGCAGATTTTCAAGCCAATGAGGCATGATTGCAGATGCCTTGCAGGTGCGTCCATCGCTCCTGCAGCGGCATTGCAGACCACGCCCCGCCACATACAGATTTCATAACTAATGGTTGCCATCTTGGTGGTCAGTCCATCTTTTATATACAGTCTGTGGGTTGAACCTGCTAAGCTAATTTAGAGGTCCAAAGATGCAAGCATGAATGCTTTTGTCAGCCCTTGCAATATTTGGCAACCTGTAAACCTAAAACATATTTATAAAATATTATATAAATTACATAGTTTGCAGAATGTGATAATAACATAATAACATTATTCGCTGTCTGCACAGATTCCTCACTAGCGTTAAATTAGCAGACATCACAGGATTAAAAACAAACATTTTGTCAGACATGAGATAATAGACTGTGCCTTTTGATCTACATCACCTGTAATCAGTAGTGGCAGTGAATGCACTGCATCTTTGAACTGTTCAACAGATTATCAGCCCAGTTTTTTTTCCAGCTCTGCAGTTTCAGAATTGATTGCCTAAACATTGCTCTGATCACTGGTAACACTGCCACGTTGCTGCTGTTCAGTGGCATTCTGGGACACTGTGATTTTCAGATCTCTTTTGCATCAGCAAACTAATGTTCACAGCAATTTAAGTGATTAATAGTGTTTATGCGAGCGAATGAATGCTTACCCAGAAGAGACAAGAAGATGAGTAATTGTTTCATTTTCTCACTAGAGATTGCAGAGAGCTGGAGATGGACAGGAATAGAGTTTTCAGAAAAAAAGGGAGAGAATAATGCCGGTATGCTACAGAAATGATAAAAACACCTGCTTGCTGCAGTGGGTCACACATCTTCAGGAAGTTTTACAGGTGTCAAAGCATTGGCTAAAGAGAATTTTGTACTACACCCGTAATTTTACTTGCGAGAGTCAGCGAAAGTGAAATGAAAATGCAAACACTCAAGAACTACATCTCAGACTCCACAGACCTCAGTTAGCATGTTAAAAGTTAAAGTTCCTTGCAAAAAAACTAGAAAAAGACTGAACAAGTGTGGCTCGTTTTGAAGCATTATCAGGAAAAGCATCTTCTTTCTCAACAGAACAACACAGCTTAGAATTGCAAAGTTGATTTTGAACAAACCACAAGACTTCTGGAGCAATGTCCTTTGTACAGATGGGATACAAAGTGCACAGTGCCACAGTTTGAGAAACATAACAGCATTCCAGCACAAATGCCTCATAGCTACTGTTGAGCACAGTGGTGGAGGGGTGATGATTTGGGCCTGTTGAACTGTAGTTGAGTCGACTGTGAACTCCTCTGTATACTCAAGATAATGCTTAGTCCAGATTGCGTCGCGTAACAAAACAATGACCCCAAGTGCAGCAGCAAATCTGCAACAGAATGGCCAAAAAAGAAAACAATTGAGGTGTTCCAGTGTTTCAGTCAAGAGAGCTGTGATGAACAAATACATGCAAACTTCAATAAACTGAAGCAATGTTGTAAAGAAGTGTGAGCCAAAATGAATCTGTCAGATGTGAGACATGTAGAAGATTAGTTTCTTATATATGAAGATACAGCTTTCCATATAAGTACGGCCTGGTTCCATTGTTCCGGTGAATCCTTCAGGGCAGTGCCATCAGTGCCTTGTGCTGACTAAATTCCTTCTTACAAGAGTAAACCACTCAAAAGACAGTGGGACTTCTTTTATTTCGCACGCTAAACTTCCACAACAAGAGACTAAAAACAGTGTTGTAGTTTTTTACATTTTAGAATGATTTTAGAGCAACTGTTCAAGAGAAACAGACTACATCTAACACTGACCTTAGTATAGCTAAATGAACGTTTTAATGTTCCTCAGATGTTCAGGGTTCAAATCCCAAAACTAATGGATAACATGATGGTGGTTTTATATGTAGTCTATGGATATACTAACTTTATTGTTCATCTGTTAAATCATCTCCATAATAGTAACCAATATTGCTGCAAACATAAAGGAGTAAACAGCAAAAGTACCAGCAGATTGTTGACTGACTCATACTGTTTACCAGAAGACACACTGAGTAACGGGGGCTCTAAAATGTAGTTTATTCAAATTATGCAACATGTAGTTTCTACATTCAGTCAATGAAGCCACATGTTTTAAAATGTATTTAACCACAAAAGAAGAAGAGAAGAAGGACCCTTCTTTGTTGATCTGAAATGTGTAGCTGTGAGGAAGCAAAACAACAACACAGCCATCATGCTGCCGCTAAATTAAATGAAGGAACAGACACAACAGGAAAGTAGAAATTTTTCCTAATAAGGAAAAAATTAAAAAGCAAAGCCTACAAACGTTATATTTGTAATGTTTGTAATGTTCCCATTTATGTAGACCAAACCAGTCAGTGTTGTATGAAAATAAATATGATTCAGTTGCTACTTTTTCTTCATAGTGAAACTTAGGCAAGATAAGTTATTGTAAAATAAAATAATATA